TTACATACTTCAATGGTGTTTCCTATATAACCCGGTATATTAAGTTAGAACAATTATTGTCAGCGTCGAAGTGGTTTTCTCTGAAGTCATAGAGTAAGGAGTTGATCCTTACCTTGCAGGTTCAAAGTCCATCGCAGAACGGGCCGATTGTAGATATTTGATATTTCGAATGTTTCCATTAGTTAAATAAATGAATTGAAACTATTTATCAAAAAGGATTTTTTTAAAAAGTGCATGTGTCCATGGACCTTTAGCAATTTGCAGTTTTAACTGGGTAGGCATTTTAGTGTAGCGACTTGGTATTGAAGTATGCCGAAACATTCTAGCAGACATTACCTATTTTTTGTTGTTTTCATTGAGTAATCAGACATGGACAGTAAGGTTTAAGCGGGTTTTCTCAGGAATGGCAGAGATACATTCGATTAATAGTCTACAGTTTAATTACTCTACAGAGTAATAGTATAATAGTTGAATCAGATGTAACTTCTTGCAAAATCTCTTTGATTTGTTTTCTTTAGTTTTAAGAATTTTGAGGGAAGAAAAAGAAAAAGTATATTGTTCAGTTGATAAGAATTTCAAAAATATTGCTTATTTTATACTTCTGCTTTCAGTTGTTGTAACAATTCATGAGCAAGGGGACACATTTATTTTCAAGCACAGATCTGAAGCGAATGTGCTTCCATGCATTTACTATAACACTGTATTTGTTTTTGTTCAGTCGAGATTGTAGAGCTTATTTGTTAAGATAATTGTTTTAGATGCAGAGGAAATGTTCCATAATTTTATACCTTTAAGATTATTTGCTTTTACATTTCTGCTTGCATTCTTTTTGAAAACTTGGTAATTTTTTTAAGGTGTTGAATAGAATTTTGTCAACATAAATCATGTATTTATGCAAACCATAGAAAAAAACCCTGAAAGATGACACTGTTGTTGCTTTATAGCTTTCTTATTCTTTGCTTGCAACAAAAGTCAAGGATTCAAATATTCGGTCCTAAAAGCACTCATTGCTTTCTAGCTTTATTGTTCTTTGCTTGCAATAGAAGGCTGAACTTAGTATCTAGAGACCTGTTGGGTGTTCAGATAGATCACTAATAAAGTAAAGTTACATTTAACATTCAGATAATCATGGTAATGCCCCGGGCGCTCAGTACTTAAGAAAGGTTGATGTACCGACAATGACAAACTCCCAGTGTCAGTATTTCTTGGGTAGAAATCACGTGCACACAAGTAATCTCTGCGCAGGTCTGAGGGCAGGCGGGAAAGATGCTTGCCAGGTTCGTAGGATCACGTGTTTGTCATGGAAACTGGTCACGTGATATATTTTCTTTTCTGTGGATTGCAATTTCCCTGCCTTGTTTTAGAATTATTGACATGTGTTTATATCCTTCGCAACTGAAAGCTGTTTATATGTTCTGCTTTCTTGCTTTTATATAATTCATTTATTTTTTGTTCCTTAATGTTTATCTCCTTATTGCTTTTGATGTTGCAGTGTTTCTTGCATTGCATTTGATTCGTTCTTGGTTGCTTTTCTTTAAAATTTAGGATGCCTGCTTATTCAAGTTTAAATTATTGAATTCATACTTTCTGATGTGACAGGTGTTTGCATCCTTTACGATTAAAAGCTTCTTCATATGTTCTGTTTTTGTTGCTTTTATGTAATACATGTTGTTTTGTTCTTTAATCGATATGTGCTTCTTATTTTGCTTTTGATATTCCACAGTTTTTCTTGCATTGCTTTTGATTCATTTTTGGTTGCTTTGCTTACAAAAATAAATGATGCCTGTTTATTCAAGTTTTATTCATTGTGATTCTTCCTTACTGATGGTTATGTCTTTGCCGTATTCATTATACTAGAGAATTTATGAAGAAAATTATACTTTTTTGCATTTATCTGTTTCGTTGACAGTGTGTAACAAATATGCAATTATTACGTTACTATATGTATGTCGATTAAATGTAATCAATGCTTATCTGAAAATGTAATCGGTTTGACTACAAAATCTACTGAAATAAATTGCACAGAGAATTTTAATAACTAATTTTGTTATCCAATATTTTTTCAGGGTGACAGCGGCGGACCTTTAGTCTGTAAGAAGGACGGAGTGTGGAAATTGGCGGGAATTGTGTCCTGGGGGTACGGCTGTGGGGACAGGAACGCCCCCGGGGTGTACACACGTGTCAGTTCATTCATCTCTTGGATCAACCAACAAAAAGCAGCTCATCCATAGATGTACAAGAATATATACATTATTTGTGGTATAAAGGAAAAAGAAAAAGAAATGCTTGTTGTTTTTTAAGAAATTATTGTTTTTAGAAAACTTGATCCGTACCAAAAATTCGTTTAATCGATTGTTGTTTCGATCTTAAATTTTTAAATCTAGTATTACATCACAAGGTTTTTGAATCAATGAATTCTGAAAAAAAAGTTCAAAGAAATACATCTTTTATTGGTTTTTGTCAAAATACAGGTAAGATTATTGTTATAATGTCAGATTTGAATAACGACTTTTTAACCTTATTTTATGCTTTCAAGTACGTTTCCTTTACATATGGCGAATACTCATGGAATGACTAATGATATAGGTAACTCCAGATTTCCTAACCTTCTGACAGAGTCCATAAATAGATAAATTTTGGTACCAAGTGCAGGAGTACCAGAACTATTTTTCTACTAACGTTTCAACTGCCAGTCGAAAATATTGCAGCTCTTTGACGAAAGAAAACAATAAAGCCTTTTTATAATTTTTACTGCCATTTAACCTGCGAAAACAATGTGTAGCGGTTTCAATATCTCCATATGCATGTTGTTACACATCAAAGGTCGTTTGATTTCATAAGTAGCAAAAGAGAGGAGTAGCGTTGCTAATTTTTCTGCCATTTTGAATCTCTTCGCAAAGTAAATACGATAATATACTATAATGAATTTGAACTTTTTTCTGAATATTAAATGATTACAAGGGAATGAAACTCTATTCCTATATAGTACAGAGATAAAGAAAGGTCAAAAAGGAAATACAGAACAGAAATGTGAAAAACTTCACCTTTTACTTAAGGATTGCAATTGAAACAAATCAATGATCTGCTTATTTGAGTTCAATACGATTTTAAGAGGAAGCTGTAAGACATTCGAAAATAGCATCCCTTTGTCTTTCTTTCGAGAGAAAAGGCCCAATAAAACCTTAAAATAAAAGTTTATACATGTAAATGACGGATCGTTTAAAGGAAAAGAAAATTAATGTCATTTGTATGTTATGTAATGATCTCAAATATATGACACTTTTTGAACACTTCAAGATTTCTTTCTCTATTAAAAAATGCTCATATTACAACATGATCATTTAATCTTGGGTCTGATTGCACGTTATCTAAGTGTCAAGTCTGCGATTCTCACGAATTTTCTCACTTCGGTCTCTTTCTATAAACTGAACTGGTCATAATGTGGCTCATCAACGTTTGTCTTCTGTTTCTCGGAGTACAATATACAGCAGCATCAAGTAAGCTTCTCCATGACCAAGAATTAGTTACCGATATCCATCGTCAATATATACTATTTTGAATTGCCATTCAACACAAATGGTAATGGAAGTTTACGTAAAGATAGTCGTCCAAGAAATGTCTTAGCTGAAATTCGAGAACAAAACATATTTTACCTTACTACAGGGAAGGAGAGTAAGATGAATGTTTTGAGGGTTAAATTTCTTTTACCTGCATATTATGAAACATACAAGTAAAAGTAATGATCTTCAATATATCCAAACCTTTAAGCTTACAATTTGTATTTTAAAATGAATTTATTTCAAATCTATCAAAAATACTTAATGGCATCATTTTAAAACATGATTATACAATTGGTATTGATTTGGGAAGAAATTATATATTAGGAGAATGTGAAAGGTATATTATATCACTATCATTCTCAGTTCCGTGGGGTCAATGTACTTAAAAAATGTAGTTATATAATAAAGTTAGGTAAGAAATGGTACATGGATGATTAAGGAGGCTGGCGGGTCAACAAATTAACCACAAATTAACCACCAGATTTAACTTATTTTTTAAAATACGGTATTCCAAAATGTCAACTATCATTTGGCAAAGAAAAAATTCATACATTTTTGTTTTAAAATTTGATCATTTTTGTATATCTTTATATGGAGCTCTTCTTTCAAAGGAGATAGAAATAGTCTGAAAATTGCTGCCACCCCCCAGCCTCTTTAATTTGATCCTTAAATCAATGCATCATTTCTTGGGAATATTAAGCTAGGCAACAATTCACACTTGTACATTTTAAAGGCAAATTAACACGAGTACTGTTTTCAAATTTTTATTGTTAAAAAGTTACCTGCACTAAATTAACCTCTTTAATTTGATACAGTGTGATATTTGAAGAAAGTTTTTTGCAAATAATTAAGCATTGTAAATGATAAAGAAATCATCCTTAAGTTTTTGGCACTAAAATGATTAATTGCATTCGAAATGGTCATTTCTAAGCACAGGTCGAGCTCCAAAATTTAATAGATGATAAATTAAATTACGTTGTATACGTACACATCTACATGCAGTGTATGTCAAATATATTCCATATTTATTTCTTGATACTAAAATACATGTAACATAAGGTATTTTCATTCTTTTGGAAAAATTTTAAAATAACCAGAAGAGAACAGAAGAAAAAATCGATGTACGAATTTTGTTTTTACAAATAATAAAAAAATTAAACTAAATAAATTCCAATAAAAATATATTGAAATATATGGAGATAACGCAAAGAATTCAAGCTCTGCAAAAGCAGAGCACCGACTTCCATAATATCAAAAGTTGGATCAGGTGCCATGAGGAGTGGGCATCCCCTGCCGACCGGTCGTGTACTCCTTGTCATGATCGGGAAATAACAGAAAATCAGTCGTCAAATCAGTGTGTAAACACTGGACTAACAATTAGTATGAAAAACATCAGTCAGCATATGACTTTTAAATGCATTCAAAATAAAGCTTCATCGATCATTATTTTATCTTTGTTTAAGCATGTTCCACTTCACTGCATGGTCGCTGTGTACATTTATATGACTATTGTCACGTTGGAGACAGCTATACGTATAACTTCTGTGGATTCCTGCAGAAATGTTGTATCCCTCCGACTTATGTACAAACACACACCACACCACCCCCACATTCCGGAGGTGTGTCCCCGAATAATGTAGGTAAGACCTTTAATGTGTTTGTGTGATCACCGTTCACTTCAAGCAGCATCCATTTTTTGTTGTATTTAATGTAAGTCTTGGTTTTTCTTGTACATATAATATTGAACGAATCTGGCCTTCATAATATAACAAAATATATGTTTATACAGTCACTATAGCCTGCGTCAATTAAAAATTAAGTTGAAAATTTATTAATTTTGTTTATAAATTAAGGTAATGAAAATATTGTGAAACACAAAATTAAAAATGATAGCATTATACATTTAACAATGTCAAATAATAATTATTTTCCTGGATGCTTACTTAAAGAAAATTGAACAAAATTTGACTAGAAAACGAGGTACATGTAGGCCGCTTGTGAATTGGATGGCAAACGTCTAACACTGAAAGATACTCATCTTTTAAAGCAAGCAGTATTATTCATCTATTCAATGATTATGACACCTTTTATTCATAAACTTAGTCAAAATGCAACATACCTCGTTGTCTTTGAGTTCCCATTGGGCATGCGTGTCTTTATACGGTTTACGCACTACAAGTGTAAATATCATGAAAAGACTGAGTTCGTAATTGATGACCTTATTTAATTGGTCTTTAATTACAACGACTTATATTGAATTCTTGTTTCATCAGCTTGTTTACCAATAACTTACCACTCTTTATAATTTTCAGCGTTTATATAGCGTGTATATCTTTAACTCGATAATGTGTAAGATACTTATCATAAAACAACTATATAGATTCCATTATCTTTAACATGTATATAAGATATATAAAATTTTAATACAACTTTTGATCAACAGCCCAGTGCGGAACTTCATCAGTGGGTTCAACCCATACTAAAATAGTGGGCGGTACTACAGCATCACATGGGGAATTTCCATGGCAGGTTTGACAAAAAACTTTTTTCCAAAACAATCATATGCATTATGTTACATATCTTATCTCAGAATTATGATTTCGCTTTCACTATGATCTTTTGTGACAGAGACAGTGAACTTCCTGTTTTACAGGTGTCGCTGATGTATGGCGGAAGTCACGTGTGTGGTGGTACACTTATTGACTCACAGTGGGTTGCTACTGCTGCTCACTGCTTTGAAGAGTAAGTATATGATTTTTTTTTTCACAATATATTTTAATTGTAAGATAAATTGATAATTGCTTATAGTTAAATTATGATTGTGTAAGACTTGTACGTACAGTGTTATCATACATGTACTAATTCAGTATGAAAAGGAGGAATGAAATAACATACATGTATTTGGAAAATTTATAAATCACTATAGTCAGAATCAATACTCTAACCACTGAGCAATATGAATCTAGGTTGATATCTTCAATCCAGCCTAAATTGCTTCATTCTTAATTGGAAAGCACTGGACTAGACGTGATCTAAAATGTTAGAAATCTTGACACTTAGTATGAATATTAAAAACTTACCAAGTAAGAAAAATTAAACAATGTACACAATGTTGTCCTCCATTATCTAGCAGTGCAGTTTTCATTCTCTCTGTAGCTACCACAATGCTCGGTACTGGACCGTGGGTGTGGGGATGCACGATCGCCACCATGTGTATACAAGTCAGGTCCATCATGTCCGCAACTTGATTGTCCACTCCGGCTACAATTCTCGTACAAACCTTAACGATATTGCCCTGATGAAACTGGACAAACCTGTAGATATCAACAGTCAATACATCCGAGCTGCCTGTCTGCCACATTCTTACGACCAATTCGAACAAATGACGTGTACAGTTACTGGATGGGGTGCCACATATTTCGGTACATATTGATTTTGAAACCAAACGTAGCAGGTTTGATTGTTTGTTTAATGTTCCTTACAATGTTTTACTCATATTTAGAGGGTTCCCCTTGCCAATGGAGGGTTTTTACCCAGTTTATAAAATAAATAACTCGCATTGCACGATGCTATTAATATGTCGTCCTTCTTTGGTATCTAAATACGAACATGTCTATTGACTAAATACTTTTTACGGTAATAGTATTTCTATTTTTCATTGCTTGCAATTACTTAAGTAAACGTCATTGACAAATTATTGCAACTTACCAAATCCTTGCTGTATACAATTAAATGAAAATTTTATTACTGTTTATGAAGCGATTGGATTTTATTTGGCTAATAAAGCGGGGAGATTAATGTAAGTTAATAATGCCAAAACTTTTATTATTCCATGCTTATTTTTCTTGGCCTTGAAACATTTGGCTCCTCGAATTAAAACGGTTCTTTTTCTTTTCATCTTTGCTATTATTTTCAATTTTTGTATGAAAAAAAAAGATCCAGTTTAAGTAAAGTAAAATATCCTTTATTAAAAGCAGTTTAAATTTTATATTCAGATAACAACGGCAATGCCCCGGGCGCTCAGTACTTAAGAAAGGTTGATGTACCGACGATGACAAACTCCCAGTGTCAGTATTTCCTGGGTAGAAATCACGTGCACACAAGTAACATCTGCGCAGGTTTGAGGGCAGGCGGGAAAGATGCCTGTCAGGTTTGTATCACATACAATATTTAACATGGAAATTGCAGGACCAACAGGGAACTGGTAAAGCATTTGGGGGGCATAAAGTATATTGTTGCATGGTTCATATCTTTTGTTTTTTGTAAAGTTAAGTGCATGTTAAACTAAGAGTTACTGGAGATCTTTTTAGTTTTTTTCACATTGTAATGAAGATCGTGTTAGATTTTATGTTATCTAATTAATGAATTGAAGTTTACTGCAATGATATTTCTGTCCCAAAGTCATTGTAATTTTTTTATTTAATCATTTTGCAATTCTAACTCTAACCTTAACAATACTACAAAATTTTGTAAAAAAAAAAAAAAAAAAAAAAAAAAAAATGATAACATATAGAAAACCGTATGACATTATTCATTCTAAATGAAAAGCTTATTTAAACAAAGAAGAAAACGACAGTACAGTGCACATAAGTTTATTTCAATTTTTTAGTGAAAATAATTCATTGCTTCAGGAATATTTCCATTAATTTTCTTTAATACTAGTATGTTAAATCAAAAAGGTTACATAAAACAAATTTCTTCAGGGTGACAGCGGCGGACCTTTAGTTTGTAAGAAGGACGGATTGTGGAAATTGGCGGGAATCGTGTCCTGGGGGTACGGCTGTGGGGACAGGAACGCCCCCGGGGTGTACACACGTGTCAGTTCCTTCCTAACCTGGATTAACCAACAAAAAGCAGCGCATCCTTGATCTCTTTCCAATTAACTCAGATTTTTTATATGTAATGGTATAAAGAAAAACATCCTAACATGTGTTTGTTGTGTCTTTGGGAAAATCATTTCTATCTTACATATGGACCTATCGTGGATGCCTTGAAAAGACATACATGTATTGCAATCTTATTATTCATTTTGAAGATGGTATTTAACCAAACAAATTGCATATGCCTCAGTGTAAGCTCTTCTAAAGGAGATCAAAATAGTCAGAAAATGGTCTCAACCACCCTTCCCTCTTCAAATGAAAATCCATGTGATATTAAACCCCCTTCCCCGCAGTCACGGATTTTAACGCATATACCATTTCCTATTTATAACGCATATACTGTTTCCCCGCAATCACGCATTTTTCAATCACTTTTAAAGGTATTTTATCTTCAATTTAATGCCAACTCCCTTCTATTTTATACTTGTTAGAGTCTCATAACATAAGAAAAGTTATAATTTTATTAAAAATTAACGTCATAATATTATTTACGCTAAACTTTAGGGAAAAAAACTTGTTACGATATAACGAACTCGACTCACATTTAAAAATACGAAGTGGTTACTTTTGTTAAAATATTTATCATTATTCATTTAGTATACTTTTCATTTAAATTATCTATTTTAAAAATAAATACATATAAATATTTCGGTTATTTAGCCAAAACATTGCTTCGACTTGCGTGTTCATAGGAACAAAGGGGAAAAAACTCAAATACAACATATACCGATAGCCCTTTTGTTTTAGAAAAAAAATGAAGAAAACTTATTAAGTCCATCGAAGGCAAGGCAATCGGGGGAAGAGCAAACAAGGGACATCCCAAAGCATCAGAAAAGTGATGTTATAATGAAAAAAAAGGATATAAGCATCCCCTGTGGTCTGACCACATCTGTAGGAAAATCCGTAAACAGTTGACTATAAGTGTTAAAACGATGGTTCCACGGTTTGTATTAAACGTCACTTAGTAATAGAATTAAAGATAGTTTGTATTTGCTAACGAGGTCATAGTACCTTCTCGAACATAAAATTGCAGCATGTTGATGCTCTGATCCCTCAACTCATTTGGCTTCTGTCTTACAAATCCCCTTTTTTCGGCTTCAATGTTTTTTTTTAAATAAATATTTCGGATTTCAAACGTTTCGGCATAAGTACACCGAAGAGACATAATTTATCAAAATGCGCATCTTATGCATCAAAATTGGTACAGTATATGATTTACATTGTATTTTTAACTCATTTGCCAACAGCTTGCCTCATTATCGAATTGTTTGCGAAGGGCAACCAAATCTACAATAATGGACAGCCACTGATACATGAATCCGTCAATTTCCATAACTTATGCCGCAATATACCAGCAATATACCTTTATCACCTGTGTATGGGGTTTAACATCTCTCAGTTGATTCAATACGCGAGAGTATGCTATACATACGATCACCAAAAGATGTAAATTAATTTCCTTGTCATCTGTACTCTTAATTTAAATAAAGTCCACAACAATAAAATATTTCATATGCATTTTGTTAGTATTTGTTCATCGACATTCAACATGTTCAAGATGTTGTTTGTCAACATGTTTATGCTACGTTTGTCCCAGAAATCCCGCGAGATTTGTACATTCTCCGACTTTTTTCACAAAAGAGCGCACTTAGAACTATAACTCTTCAATAGTGGAAATAGAACGTATTGACAAACAAATTGCTGAAACAAGAATATCAGTAATCTATCATTTTCATTCTAATTGTTAGGCCATTATTTACACACTGAATCGTCGACGGATTTCTTCGTTTTCCCAATCTTGTCTAGCAGCTCGCGGCGGATGTGACCGGTCAGCTGGGATGCTCATTCCTCCCTGGCACCTGATCCCACCTCTAATATTTTAGAGGCTCGTGTTTGCTCTGTTCCTGATTTGTGTTGTTTAATGGACTTTTGAGTTCAAGTACTGTGGATTCCTAACACCATATACATGTAAATCATGATCTTAATTTCGAGGACTTAAAAAAACACTTGGAAATAAAAATTTCAAAACATTTAAAAAATTCAGTCTTCCTGTATAGCCATAAGCTAAAAATGTCCACGTTATCATTTTTGTACTTAATCACACCACAAGGACTTCACAGACCGATGTGATTAGGTTTCTGATATTATTGTGCATGCGTCAGTTTCTTATCATTGTCCTGCTTTTCACACTCGGCAGCCATGTCTGGGAATCCATTGAAATTTTGCATTTTCCTTTCACTGATTGGAGGAGTGGCATTACAAGATTGTATGTAAAATTTCATATTTTTTCACGCTTTAGCAAAACAAATAATACTTCTAAAATACTTAATACTTTGGAATAATTTTTTAATATTCATATCCATCAATAAGAAATGAAGTTCTTGAACTTATTATAGAATTTATACATATTTTTTTTTTTTGCATTTTTTGACAAACCATTTATCGCAAAACGTATAATTTTATTACACTTAAAATAGTACTAGTGAGAATGGGCGAGTTCTGCCAAATATATGCAAATTGTGGTTTGTGTTAATTGTATTGACCTACAGTATGGATGGCGTTTTCGCGATATTGTTTATTATATGATAAATTAAATGCATTTAAAAATGCCTTTAATTTTTAGTGTGTCACACAAATTATGGAGGAACCTGCGTTAATTATTACTTTAATAACTGCCTGTCCGGCTACTCCTATACCAGGAGTGGGTGTGGCTTTCAAGAAATGTGCTGCATTCCTCCAAAGTTTCAATTAACTCCGCCAATTCACCCAGGTATGCATGAATATTACAATAATCTATTCTTTTTGCCATATTCGTACATGTAGTGTATAAAGTGATTCTTCACAGCCTGTTTTTTTCTTCAAAATACCCTATGACTTTGTGGTAATGAATAGAGAAGTTATTAGTTATGTTGATCGAAACATAAATTACTGAAAATTTCAAACTTAATAACAATGAATTGTTCTTTTTTAATGCATTTAATTTATTTACTTAGGAAAACATTGAAAACAAACTAAATCAAAAGAGGCATTTAACTGCTTGTGAAAGTCCTTTGATTTTGTTGATTCAATAAAAAGAAATACACGACTTTGTACAAACCAAATCATTCTGTCCTGTTTTGATATTATTGTCTTGTGATATTTCTTGAGGTCAGTGTGGATTAAGTACACCTATAACGACACATCAATATAAAATAGTGGGAGGCACAAGGGCTAAACCTGGCGAATTCCCTTGGCAGGTACATAATCATAAAACATTTCATCCCTTAAATTTGTGAAAACTAAATAAATGGAGTGGGGTTATGGACTTAAATACATGTACTGATTTTTTTATTAACAAGTTTGCATTCAAATACTGATGTCTGAATTACATTTTAAGGTTTGTTATTTATTATACATTTACATATTGAAGAGTGGAAACTTTACTACAAGTATAGCTAGCAGTCGTATTTTTCAAGTACACTATTTCGTATATATGATGACAGAACATATTTTTGAGTGTACTAAATTTCGTAAAGATAACACGTTCTTTATATCATTTAAGGTTTCAATGAGATCAAATGGACATCACGTGTGCGGAGGAATACTTATAGCTGACCAATGGGTTCTCACAGCTGCTCACTGCTTCAATGAGTAGGACTTAGTTGTATCTATTTGGGCAACTACATTGTGTTATTCTTCAGGCAAAAACTAATTTTTAAAAAAAATCCGAAAAACAAACGCAATTTAATACTAGTGCTAATTGTAACGGGGACCGTTACAGATGTTCCCCAAACGCTCCCCATGTCCCTTTTCGTGCCTTATTCCTCTTAGACCTTTTATAAATATGCTAAGTATCCAAGGATTTCATTTAGGAATATAAAAATACAATGATATCAACTATCAACTATATATCGTTTAACGTTTTGCATATGCAAGATGATTATGGCTTGTTGGTTAAGCGATTAACATATCTTTCTATCCCGCGAATCAAAGAAAAAATACATATATAAAGTTACCATTTTTCAAGCATATGTCATTTTTTAATATATCGATTCACATTTTATTTCTCTACTTATTTTAACCTCGGGCTCAAAGTAGTTTTTATTCCCACGACAAGGCAGGGTTAAAGTCGACTAAAACCCCAGTCACATTTCCAAAAACGACCAACGGCCGACGGGTTTTGAAGCAAAAATGGGATTCTTCGAGTGACAGTCGTCAGTTCATCGGCCGTTGTCTTGGCCGATTTTGACCTATTTTTTTGTCGGCCGACCAATTTTGTGTCCATCGGTCCAAGTTATAATTTTTCATGCGTCGGTGGCCGATTTCTTCAACTGCAGTAATCCGTTGACCAACCTTCGATCATCGTCCGACCATCGACGGTCAGTTTATTAAGTCGGTCTTCCGTTGTTGGACAATAAGGGTGTTGAAAATTTCGGCCGACGGTTAAAATCAAACTGTAGCTCAGAGCTCGATGATCGGGCGACGACTGGCTGACTTGCGAATATTTAATCTATTAAGGATACATAACACAAACAAATTTTTGATGCATGGTTTGATATAAATTTTTTGAACGGAAATAACAAATTATTTATCAGAAATCTTTAGTATTCTTTGCTGCTTAGATATGCACCATGCATTTGTCGTTTTTATGCAGTTCCCTACAAAGTTTGCACACATTTTCAACATTGAGTGACAATTTTGTAAGATATCCTGCCACTTTGCCTTGCAAACATTACTCACGTCACCTATCTGAATATAGATCTATGAAAAAATATTGCTGATTTCTAAAGAATTAAGATTTTTTGTGCCATTTATCCAAGTTATCGGTGTCCCTATGAAGTAATGTGACTGCTCCGTGTCGCCAGATCCTGTGTCGGCCGATCCTTTTCTCTCAGCCGACAAGACCAGAAAAATTTAGTCGCCCGACCGTCGGCTTAAATGTGACCTAGGCATAAGGGTATCACGCCGATAGCTAACCAATCAAAATGAACTTATTCAATAGAAGTTCCATACATGGAAAAGGGATTTTCCTTTCTGTTTGGAATTTTTTTAATATTTCCTCTCAGGCCATTTTGACAACGCTGGTACCTGTGCCTAGTAAATTTTATATACTTTGTAAATAAATATATAGAGGTTTTTGACCGGAACTATTCATTTTTTCCAATGCATAGGGGGCTACTTTCTGTGGTTTACAAGAGATGTTTAAAAAGACATTCGTGTCATGCAGCTAATGTGACCAATATTGTTTAACACCTTCTTATTAATATTTTTTTCATGAATGCAAATATCTGATTATTTTACGAAGGAGCGTACCTGTATATTGATTTTTAATATACCGAAAATCGCTATTTCTGGGGATTGCGTAATTCTAAAAAAAATTCAAATAAATTTCAAAGGTAAAATAAACAAAGGATGCTTGGTATTAAAATATTATTTCAAATCAGTAGAATTGAATGCTATTAACGACATCTGAATAAATAGGCTATAAAAGGCTTATATACCAACTTTGTTCATCTGCACTTTCATTTCAAACACGACAGGATTTGTAATTTTTTCCGTATAGATTAATAATTTCTATATACTTTGGAAACTCAAATCAAATATTTTAATACACTTTCCTCGAGCTCTTTTCTGCAGTTTTTCTGAAATTTTATGTGGGTCCGAGGTGTTATTTGAGTTTAACAGCGATTCTCTACGTTGCCATTTATTTGATTTGTTTGGTTGTTGAGGGGGGAGGGGGGGCGGATATTTTTATTCTTAACCTATTTAACGTTGGAGTTGAATCTTGTATCTTACTCCAAGAACTTAAGATTGATTGTGACATTTGGATGAAAGGTCAAGGTCATTAAAAACCACCAACTCTTTAACTTCTATCCTGCCAACCGAAATAAATTCTGAAAAGTGTTTCTAGATACATGTACATGTACTTCATGTTTCTTTTTACCCTGTGGTCAAGGACAAAGGTTAAGGTCGATTTCAAGTTCATAGGTCAAGGTGATTTTGGTATATAGCTAATATTAACATTTTATTCAGGTTACCAATGACCTTGACCTAAGTTTCAAGGTCAAGGGTCAAAAGATCTGCATGCTTCAGTATGTTACATGTCTTGACATTTAGAAGTTCTTAATTCTGCATGAACATCACAAACTCAAGTATACTGTCGTTTAATGCATTGTGTGCGGGTGCATTTACTTTTGACAGTAGTATAATATAGGCATTCATTATATCTATTCATATTCGAAATTTCACCCTGTAGTATTGAGAACCAAGAAAGTTGTAGGCATTTAAAGTTTTAGCCAATCAGATTGCAGCACACGTGCATGTGCGTGTGTTCATGATCATTCTTATATATCATGCTGTATATCTTCATAATGTATGGCTATGTTCAGAATTTCAAAGGATTTTGTCAGAAAACAAAAAAGATATTTAGACTTTTAGTTTCAGCCAATCGAAGCGAAGCGCACGTGCATGCGCGTGAGATCTTGCTATTTTGACCATGTCGTCATGTCTATAGTACTAATATATCCTTATATTATGAGTTTCCAAGCATTTCATCCAAAATTTAAAAAAGTTACGGCTATATCTATTATATTGGTTTTTTCACGTGTAACACGTGTGCGCACACGCACGCACGTGCGCGCAAAATGACCTTCGTTCCGCACATCTACATAACATACCTAGTGACCCTAAAAAGGTTTCACCTAGATCGGATGAGCAGTTTACGAGAACACTCGCGGACAAAAAAGTACCGGAGAACAAAGAAAAAATCAGAAAAAGTAAAATCACTAGATATGAAACTCGTTGCGAGCAACGAGAGGTCTTCCGTCCGATTCTGAAATAAAAAACAAAAAATCTAGCAGAAAAAGCGATAAAAAAAGTCAGACATTCGGGGGAGCGAACCCGGGTCGCCCGCGTGAAAATCCAACGCGCTAACCATTCGGCCATTGAAAACACCGCTTCAAATTTTCAAATGCGAATATCTCGAGAATGCCTTTCTCGATTCTAAAAAAAATTACGTATTATGCATTTGCAAATGAGTCTCTATTTAGAATAAACACAACAAAGAAAAATATTGAAAAACAAAAAAATTGAAAAATTGCATTTTTTAAATATGCTTCCGGCAGAAACCGGAAGTACTGACGACGCACGAAAAGGTGATTCTGCAAACCACAAAGTCATGATCTATCATCTGCAATAAGTCTCCATGTCATATACTTTGCCATTTTCGATAAAAGTGCGCGACAAAATCGCATTTTAAAATCAGGAAATTGTCCATAACTTGGCACCAAAAGCGAATTTTCCAAATTTTTCTTCTGATGTAACAACTTCATATAATGACACATATTTTGTGAAAGTTTCATGAAAAACCGCTGAATAGTTTTCGAGAAATCGCCTGCACAAAATTTTGTCAAAAAAAAAGAATAATAATAATAACTAGATGAGATCTCGTTGCGAGCAACGAGTAGGTCTTCCGTTGAATTTCTCGATAAGATGAGATGTGATTTTAACTGAGATATTCGTTAAAAGAGAATGACATTAAGTTTACCTTCATTAAATTTAAAGTTTCTTATTTTTATCACGATATTCTGAACATCTTTTGTTCAATAAGGCCTATAAAAAAAATATATATATATATATACATGTCTCTTCTTGTCGAAGGGTAGAGGAACTTATGCAATGGTACGGGGTCAATCGTCTGTCTGTTCCTTTGTCTGTAAACAATTTTTTTCCCAAAAATGTTACTTCTCCTTATAGTTTATAGTGTTTTCCTGCTTTAAAATTTTCTACGATTTAAAAGAAGACTTCAATACGATACATTATTTTTATGTTGGTTGTTGAATTGGTGAACGTTGTTGCCATTGTTTAAAAAAAATGGAAATTTCTTTTAAATAATTTCAAAATATATTGAAAATAGACAATTTACACAGAATTGCAATATAACTTATATAGTTTGGGGCATTCAAAGTTAGCAGCAGTCATCATTTACAATTGAATATCATTCGAAATAATTCAATTTTGAAACGTATCTTTTTTTCAACATATACATGTTTTCAAATAAGGTTTGTAAATGCATTGATTTTTAAAAATATATTTTAGTGAAACCACCACATTGCACAACGAACAAGAATCTATACAATAGTGGTATAATGGCTCGGTGTGCCTCTGAATTGGGATTACATTTGGCACCATACATGAAAGCAATGTATGCTGTTATAACAATCATCTTGCTCTTAAATCTTCTGATTGCAATGTACAGGTATGTGCAAAATTACTATTACAACATGTACTAGGTAAAAGCTCTAGGAAATAGACAAATTGACGAATTAGGGAAACTTTATAATTAATTATTTGGAAAATTTCTATAAGATTTACCGTGAAATGAATTACCTAATTCATCACAAATTTTTTGAAAAACAGAACGTGTATATAACGTAAGTATTTTCTTGCAATGATACAATTGGAATAACACAATAAAAGTGAAAGAGCGATATTTCAATGTATTATTGGGTAACCTGACTTAAGTCAGGTGATCTAATGCTGTCCGTTTTTGTCCGCCGTCGAGCGTTAAAATTTGAACATTTTAAGCTTTTTCTCTGACCACTGAAACAATTTCAATCAATTTTGGCATATCACACTGTACATCTATGGGTGAATGGGAACTCCAATTGTGACTTTCATGGTTCCTGGGGGTGGGACAAAAACCACATAAATTAGTGCAATCTTTCTGGACACGAAACAGTCAAACTGTTGGCATTGTTATCAGAATTAAGTCCTCTAAAAATTGCGAAATTCATGGAAACTGGGTCATGGTTCAGAATTCCTGATGAGCGGAAAAACAAACTCCAATATTTTACGGGTCATTCATTTACTAGTACCTCCCTCCACACACACATGTACCACAGACAAACACAGTTCAACTTCACTGAATGTATAGATGCTTCATAAAAAGTACCACAATTGAAGCTTTCCAACTTTATCAATCTAGAATTTCAATAAATAAAAAGCAACTTTATTTTGAAAAATGTCATAACAACAAGTGTTACCTTAGTGGTGTTTATCTCGGATAGGTTTACTCAAATCATATGAATTGTTTATTTCTCTTACATGTACCATAGTCCATCTAACATTTGCCCATCCATCTTTAACCATCCAACCGCCCCATCTCTCCATACTTTCCAATTTAATTTTATGTCACTCCCATGCCAGAGAATGTTGTGAATAAAAGACTGAACATGACTAAATCACCTTGTAATTAACACTTGAATATGTATGAGGATTGAATATGTATAAGACACACCGTTTGTTATTATTATTGATAATGTAATAAAAATGAATTAATTCTTTGAAAATCCTCTCCTTTTGGCCTGGGTTTCATGTCGATAACATAATAACATAGTTATGATGAGCAAAGGTGCTTCTTCAAAAATTGTAAATTTTGAGGCCCCTCGGTTGAGGTTTCCGGTGTTAAGGCAGGGGTTTTATGATTAGATATTTAAAATGCATTGTTTGAAAATATTATACACTTTTCTGATACACCCATGAACCATGTGCATTGATATGGTAAAGAAAGGTTTCTCTTTCAAAATTGTTAATATCATGACCCCTGGGTCAGGGGTAATAAATTTCAGGATCAAATGATTATATACTGAAATTCAATATATATGTCCTGAAGTCTGATTTTTGGTGTAAATCATGATTTATGATGGGCAAGAACTTCTATTCCATTTTTAAAAAATGTGATCAGGGGTTCCCGTATGCATGGTTGGGCACCACTGACGTAGAGGAAACGCATATATCTTTGTTCCACTACTCTGCCTCTGGGTACATGTATTATGTAATCAAAGTAAGCATGTTAATTTTTTAGTTATGATGAGCAATGATGCCTCTTTTAAAATTGTTAAATTCATGACCTTTGGTTTAAAATGTGAAACAGTCAATAGTTACATGATACTCATGTGACTAAAATGGCTCTTTGCCCCTTGCCTAAACAATTGTTCTTTCCTTTTCAATATTTCAGCCACACTTTTGAAGAAGTTCATGAAAAGAGCAAATTCTATTGGTCGCAACTTCAAACAGATTTCTTAGAAGAATTTAGCGTGAAGAGCGTATTTCCAATGCACCTCCAACTAATAGCGTTACCCGCTTGCTTAGTTCATTTCATTCTGTGGTGTATTATTCATTTCTTGCGTCAGAAATTTATCAATATGTGTGGGGGAGTAGATAATGATGGTGATGATGTTGATAATGCGTCCCAGCAGGATCAAGATTTAGAGGACGCTAATGAGAGACCTAAAAGTTCTGAGATTGACCATAACGTGAAAGCAGACGAACCCAAAAGCCAACCGATTGAAATACATTTTAAAGACAAGGGGAAAAAATTGAACAGAAGCCCAATGTTTGTAAGGGGTAAGTTGGCATCTTTAGTAAAAATCAACAAGCATATGAATCGTTTTGAAATAACGGTAAATATTTCCTTTCTTCTCTTAAGGTCACCCAAGACATACAGCGTCATCGGGTGATTACATCACCATGACCTCTTCATTGGTGATAGTCTCTCCCTTCTAAACAGTCCATTATAGTTTAATTATCCTGAAGAATCGAAATTATCAATAAAAATAGTAATCAAACCTTTTGTGTTCCCTGTGTCTGCTCTGATGTTTCACCAGACAACTTTAGCGTCATTAGTAGAATTCATTGTTGACCATTCCCGCTTATTTATCAATGGTACATGTTTAATGATAAATTAAAATTATCTCGCTTAAACAACTGTGATTCCATTCAAAAGGCGAAAAAACAAGTGTTACATTGCATGCACGGTTAAGCTATTTCATTGTCATCTTAAGTGTAACAACTGCGCGTGAGAGAGACATCACAAGTTGCCACAGCTCATGTGACATGCTCTGAACTAATCATATTGACTGAAGAATAAAAATACTTATTTTCTTCTTATTGTGTAACATTTTTCAAATCAATTTACATTATGGAACAATTTGTTATAGATGAAAAGGAAGTGATTCGCTGTATACTTTGAATCTGTTTTATCTTAGAGCTATTACATAGGAAGTTCACTTAGATACTGTTATTTAAATAAACGGTCGTATGCTACATCAGCACTCGTTCGTATTAATTTTAATCGTGTACGTCTTCTTTGTTTGGAAAGAAAGATACCAAAGAAACTTACAACAGTTGTTCGGGACATACAATGAAGCACAGATATGCGTAACTATTATAGTGAACAATTCCATGTATAACAACCTGCACGAATACGTATCGCCATTGCAAGCTGATACCCGTGACAATGAAGCGATCAGGTGAAACGAATGCCGAGGTATACTCCATTACAGATTGTACAAAGTACAAACTTATTGACGTATACCTATTTACAAGTCGTGTTTTCCTTTAATGTTTCATTCCATATACAGAATCTGGTGAACATGTATTTCTCAGGCTTGAATTTCATCTGGGCAATAATTCTTGTTACATGTACATTTAACAAGTCAAAACGTGCTATAAGTAAGTTTTTTTAAAACTGTAAAATAAAACAAGCTAATTCAGAGAATTCGTGTCCCCCGCTGTGGGAAAAAGTCGGCTCCCCATGACTGAATTTGTAGAATTATTAAATGTATACACTGTCATGTATACTGAAGCAAATAAAATACATGTATGTCAATATGCATATAAAGATTTGATTGCTTATTCTTTATTATGTGTATAGAAGATTTTTTTATATGGAATATTTATCACACTGTAATGATGATTTTATAACCTCATAAATTTTTCATTTCACATGCTGAATACTATCATTTAGTAAAAAAAAAAAAATATTAAAAAAAAAAAAGAAAGGATCGACCGAGATTCGATCCCGGGACCTCTCACACTTGAAGCGAGAGACATAACCACCAGACCACGGAATCGCTTTACACAGTGTGAAGTATATATGCAGAACTGAAGTCACATACATGTATATATTCATGTTTTCATGTTCGGTATTCTCAAAATTTTACACAATCCATGGTGTTTGATTTATTTAGCCTTTATTAAACAGTTCTAATAGATGTAATAAGAACATAAAGTCCGCCGAGAACCTGTTTTATACGCAATAACTCTCCCTGCGCTAAAAATAGTGACATGTAATACTATAAATACTAATAAAACGAACGGGGTGGGGCACTTTGAGAGGGGCGAAGACGTCCTAGGGAGTTTTGGTATAAAATTACATTGCATAAGACCAAAATCTTCTTGAAATATCGCCCGGAAATGATAGTATTACACACGGACAGAATGTATAAATTTACGACCTTGAACTTTGACCTTTTGACCTCAAAATCAATAGGGGTCTTCATGAGGCCACAGGGAGTTGTTATATAAAATTTCATTGCAATAGCTCAAATGGTTCTAGAGATATCGTGTGGAAACGAAAGTGTTTTAACAGACAAATTTCTTATTTATGA